TGCGTGGCGCCCGCATGAACCGGTCCGCCGGGGGCCTTGAGGCCACGCTTCGTGGAAGGAGACGAAGCTTACGACATAACCGTCGCGAGGCCTCGGCTCCGGCTCGCCATCTGAGCAATCCATTCTAGCTGGTGGAGTCGATCACGGGGCGGAGGAGCCCACCGTCGACAAGCGGCGGAGCATCTCCTCGGTGACGTCCGAAGCGGATCCCGAGGTCCGCCTCGGCGACAACGATATCACCGGCCATGGGTGCGCTGGGGAATCAAGTGCGGCGGTGAGTCTTTTCTCTCTCCTCCCACGCTCTCACTTTTTCTCGCTTCCTCCCTAGGCTCGCTCTTCCTCCTCTCCTTCTCGGCACTTCATTTGCTCTAACGACGGCTCGGCGGGGCGCCGATCTGAGCAAAGGTAAGACGAGGAGGGGCAAAACTCCCGGTATTTATGCGGGGAGGAGGCGAAAGCAATGAGCGATGAAATCGAGGAGATTTCCCCCAATCTGGCGCGATTAACCACGAGCCGATTTCAACATTACACGCGCCCGTCTCCCGCATTAAATGCGAGGGGCGTTACGTCCCATCCACCACGCCACGCTTCGGCCACTCGGCGGCGGTACCGTTTGACTCCCAATAAAACTGCCTCAAAAGCGCGCCACTCACATGGCCGAGCCAATAGGGAAGATATTTCCGCGGCTGTTCCTTTCATAGGAAGGAACCGGACTCTGAACCTATTACGATCCGGGGTTCAAAGTTGGACCCCAAAAGGGTTTCGATAGCTGCCCGGGATATGAGTCGAGCGACGCTGGCGCGAAGCCTATTCGGGGCCGAGACCCAAGCGCGCAACGCTTGGGCGCCCAAAGTTGTGTCCGAGACCGCGAGGAAAAGTATCCGAATGGGATCCCACCGTGAGGAGGCACCGAGCCACGAGGGCCCAGCAGCAGCCTCGGCACCCACTAGAAAATCCTCTGGTACTCTTGGAGTGTGTCTCGGACCGCTAGCCGTCCCCTAACGAGCAGGGGTTCGGGCCTCCCTCGGACTACCCGATAACAGCTCACCGGAAGTGCCACCGCTCGTGCCCCATCGAGGGTAGCGAGGCACATTCCACCCCTCCTTCCGAAAAAAAAGAAGCGCGAGGTCGCATAAAAAGTCGGGGAACCCTGACGGCCTTCTTCTCGCCCTATCTGAGAGGCTAGGGGCTCCTCCTGCAAATATCTTGAGAGACCCCACGACCGGGCTCGCGCCCAAAGGGGCCTCGGCAAACAAACCCTCACAGCTTGAGGCGTATAAAAAGTCGGGGAACTCCCGACGGCCCTCTCGCTCTGCTGCGAGAGGCTAGGGGCTCTTCTGCGACCTTGCCGAGACCGAGAATGGGCTCGGCAAACAAACCCCTCTCACGCCTTGAGGCGTATAAAAAAAGTCGGGGAACTCCCGACGCCCCTCTCGCTCTGCGTGAGGCTAGGGGCTCTTCTGCGACCTTGCCGAGAGACGAGAATGGGCTCGACAAACAAACCCTCCATCCAAACAAAAAGGATATGTGAGGCGAATGAAAAAAAGTCGAGAGACCCCGACCGTCCTCTTGCTCTAGGCGGAGGCTTGGGGGCTCCTCTTGCACCCAAAAACCAAGACAAAAACACGATAAAGGGTACACCCAGAGCCCGTTCACAGTCCGGGGTTAGGTGGGCCTCCAAGAGGTTTCGATAGCCGCCCCGAGGCAACAGAGTCGGGGGCGACTTGAGGCGAGCCTACTGAATGGGCCCGAGCCGAGCAGAGCGATCGCTCAGGCGTCCTAAGTCGTGTCCAAGACCGACGAGAAAGTATCCGAATGGGATCCCACCGTAGGGAGGCACCGAGCCACCGAGGCCCAGTGACGGCCTCGGCACCCACTAGAAATCCTCGGTACTTTTGGAGTGCGTCTACGGACCGCTAGCCGTCCCCTAGCGAGCAGGGCTCGGGCCTCCACTCGGACTACCCGATAACACTCACCGAAAGTGTCACGCTCGCGCCCATCGAGGTAGCATGGCACATTCCACCCCTCCTTCCGAGCGAAAGGAAGCGTGAGGGACATACCCAACGTCGGGGGACCCACGACGAACCTCTCGCTCCATCACGCGGAGGCTAGAGGGCCTTTTTTTGCAACCTCGCCGAGACCCCATTAACCCAGAACTTGCGCTTATGGGCTCGGCAAATGCAATAAGAACTGATCACTCAAGCGAAAGTGGAAAAGCCCCGGAGGAGTAACTTCACTCCTCCGAGGGCTCTCGAAAAACTACACCGGCGGGTGCGCTCATGCAGCACCCACCGGAACATCGAAAAACAAACCCAATTCCTACGGAGCAGGCATAAACCCAGCCTCGGCAGAACCCTCGGGAGAGTGCACGCACTCACCCCCCAGGGCTCGGGGGCTCTTGTCGGGTACCTTAGAGCAGGGGTACCCCAAGCAAACATCAAAATAAAGCTAGAAGGTAAGCCGTGGGCCCCTCACCGCCACGACCGAGCCCTCCTCCACCTCGCCTCGAGCCTCGGCGGGAGGTCTCGGAACAAACTCCGCCTCATGACGAGGCTCCCCAAGGTGAGCCCTCGGCGGGCGCCGAGCCTCGGCGGGGCGCCGTCTCCGTCTCGCCCGAGGCTCTCCGGGAAGGCCTCGGCGGGGTACATTCTCCGTGTCGCGCGAGGCGTCTCGCGCAAGGCCCTCGGCAAGGAACCCGATCTCCGTCTCGCGCAGGCCTCATTCTCCGTGTCGCTCGAGGTCGGGTCGCCCGCATGATCCGTCACCCCCACCTCGACCGACCCTCCGGACAACGTGTCATGTCCCATTAATGCTTCAACCACTCCCGCAATCTCAGCCGGACGACGGCTCAACACCACAGAATGGCCGACGCGACCCAAGGTCGCATCAGCTCCATACCGGCTGGGACAGGGTACGGCGGGGATTACCGGCCACTGTGTCCTAACACTGTATCCACGATCTGCGCCATACCGGCTGGGACAGGGTACGGCGGGAATTACCGGCCACTGTGTCCTAACACTGTACCCACGATCAGCCGCCCACTCGAGGCCTCGGCACCGTACACCAAGGTCTCGGCCATCTTGGGGATTGTGCCTGCCGAGACCCCTCCACCATGGTGCAGCCTCGACACCGACCAAGTCTCGGCCTCGCGCGCAGTCCATCCACAGTGGCTTGCACGTCCACCGCCGCGCCCACTCCGAGGCAGTCCTAGGGCTCCCACGACGCACAGGAGATCTGATGGGATGACCACGCGCCGCCCATGCTCAAGGATGGACCACTCCGGCGGCCACACCGCCACAGAGCAGAACAGGCTCAGGGCCCGGACCGCCGCCTCTGTTCACACGACGCCCGTATAGTCAGGCTCATGTACCGCCCTAGTCCTCCCTTCATGCTATAAAAGGAGAGGACCTGGGTTGTTTTAAGGGGGGGCACCTTGTAACACACACACACACGCACACTCCTGCCGCCGGAGAGCAACGTCTCAAGCGGCCCGCACGGCACCCTGCCGAGACCTAGGACCAGCTCCTTCTCTCCTTTAGCTTGTAACCCCCTACTAAGAGCACCTCGGTGCAAGGAATACAAGATCGATCTCTCGGTGGGCGTGGGGCCTCGATTGCTGAACCAATTATAAACCTTGTGTCTCTTTGCATCACCATCCGGATCGGGAGCACGCAAAACAAATTCACTGGTTGGTTGAGGACCCCCCGGTCCGAAACACCGATAGGTTGCTGCTTCACATTAGTTGTAGAGACTTTTCCCTGTGTGCCATTATAAAAGATCGTAATCCCACATGTAACGCCTCTGGAAAAATTCAACGGTCTTGGCGCCACTACTCCAACTTTTTCGTGTCCTCCATGCCACTTCCGTCGGTTTGGGCTCTATATAATTTATTTTATTAATCAAAAAAAAATGATGATTTTCTAAGATATACCCTTAAGTCTAAATATCAAATCATTTTTTGAGCATTTTACGAATTAAATGAAAAAAACTTATATGAAAATTATAGATCTCGATCGAGATCTAAAACTTTCTAGTTTTGATTTTTTTCATTTAATTCATAAAATGCTCAAAAAGATATAATAATCATATCAAGATCATATTTTTTTTTTTTCAAGACCGCAGCTTGATTATGAAAGTAGAGCCCAAACCGACGGAAGCGGCATGGAGGACAATAAAAAAGTTGAAGTAGTGGCGCTTGAAGACCGCTGAATTTTTCCAGGGGCACACAGGGGATTGCGATCTTTTATAATGGCACACAGGGAAAAGTCTCTTAGTTGTATGCATGTACTGGTAGTTGCTTATGTAAATTCTCATTGGACTGATTTTGAAATGTTCAGAATGTACTTGTATTACTTAGTTGCAAATATGGTCAGAAATGCCAATGTACCCAATAAAAGTAGTGTAGTTAACACTGAATGCTAAGGAGGTGAAGTTGGTGTAGTGAATATGAACATTTCAAGCCTTGTATACTGAATCTTGAAGTGTTCAGCATTGACTTGATGTACTACAAAATAGCAAATAGGATTCAGTGCAACCAACTGTATTGGTGTAGCTAGCACTAGCACTTGAAGTATGATCTATGACCATTCCATTGAAGAACTGAACTTAGTGTATTCATCCCTGAACCGTAGGTTTCTGAGAATTTACTAGATCGTTAGAAGGCTCCGTAAGCACTTAAATATGACCTATGAGCATTCCATTGAAGAGCTGTAGTTAGTATACTGTTTCCTGAAGTGTAGGTTACTGAGAATTTACTAGATTCTCGGAAGGCTCAGTAAGCATTTAAGCACTAGTACTTCTGTTTAAGTGAAGAGTTTGTACATCAGATCTTTTATTTGGAAATAGTAATTCTTTAAAATTTAGATTTTTGTTCTGAATACTGGAACAAGGATCCAGTTTTGTGGGGAGTTAAACACCACTGGCCTTTTTCGTGTGTGAGCATGCTTTTTATATATATTCTTCTCAATTATTAAATTTAATCAACTCAATCATTTTGGCAGGTTGGTAGTGACACTGGAGGATGGAGTGAGATATACAGCTTTATTTCACGTGATAGTGAAGCCAGTGAGACCAACGCATTTCTGTTTGGTGACATGGGAACTTATGTGCCTTATAACACCTACATTCGCACACAAGATGAGAGCTTGTCCACTATAAAGTGGATCCTCCGTGATATTGAAGCCCTTGGGGATAAACCTGCCTTCATTTCACACATTGGGGACATCAGCTATGCTAGAGGTTATTCTTGGGTATGGGGTCATTTCTTCAGCCAGATTGAGCCTATTGTTGCCAATACCCCATACCATGTCTGTATAGGAAATCATGAGTACGATTGGCCATCACAACCTTGGAAACCATGGTGGGCTACATATGGAAAGGACGGTGGGGGCGAATGTGGGATACCGTATAGCGTCAAGTTCAGAATGCCTGGCAATTCTATCCTGCCTACTGGTAATGGTGGCCCAGACACCAGGAATCTTTATTACTCCTTTGATTCAGGTGTGGTGCATTTCGTCTACATGCCAACCGAAACAAATTTTGTTGAGGGCAGTGATCAGTACAACTTCTTGAAAGCGGACCTTGAGAAGGTGAACCGAAGCAGAACACCATTTGTTGTTTTTCAGGGCCACCGCCCCATGTACACCTCAAGTGATGAAACCAGGGACGCAGCCTTGAAACAGCAGATGCTCCAGCATTTGGAACCGCTGCTGGTAACATACAACGTGACCCTTGCACTATGGGGACATGTCCACAGGTATGAGAGGTTCTGCCCGATGAAGAACTTCCAATGTGTCAACACTTCATCAAGCTTCCAATACTCTGGTGCTCCTGTGCATCTTGTGATTGGGATGGGCGCGCAAGACTGGCAACCCATATGGCAACCGAGGCCTGATCACCCAGACGTCCCCATCTTTCCACAGCCTGAGAGGTCCATGTACCGTGGCGGTGAGTTTGGATACACAAGGCTTGTAGCAACAAGGGAGAAGCTAACATTAACCTATGTGGGGAACCATGATGGGCAAGTCCATGATATGGTGGAGATATTTTCCGGCCTGGTATCTAGTAACAGTAGTGTTGCTGAGGCGGTGGATGATACTAAACATGGCACAGGAGGCAGCACCGTGCGAAAAATATCTCCGTTGTACTTGGAAATCGGAGGCAGTGTAATGCTTGCACTGCTCCTGGGGTTTTCCTTTGGATTTCTTATCAGGAGAAAGAAAGAAGCTGCACAGTGGACTCCAGTAAAGAACGAGGAATCATAATAGTTGCCAAATTTTTTTCAGTCGTTAAAGTGATTGTGGACGTTCTTTGTAGTTGAACCATTTTTGTTTTATGATCCTGGCTTTCTGTATCATCTGCCTACTTTTGTTAGCAGATGCACAGAATCTTCTGAGCTTCGATTTCATACTTAACAAGATAGATACCTGTATCGACAATATCATATTACATGTTGGCAGTGGTTAACGAGATATCTAAATGGGCATATTTAGAGGTCAAGCATCGCTGCATCAGCACACCTACTGTGTATTGACGACCTTGCAAAGTGGGAGCAGAGACGCCATCCGTGACCAAAACTTGCAACCAGCCAATATCTGAGGAGCAGGAGCAGTGTGCCTGCATGTCCATCGGCGGCGAGATGGTGTCGGTGTCATCCAAGAAGGTGTGCGTGGTCGGCGCCGGCGTCTCGGGGCTGGCTTCTGCCCGCGAGCTGCTCCGCGAGGGCCACGACGTGACGGTCATGGAGCAGAGCAGCGGCGTCGGCGGGCAGTGGCTGTACGACCCGAGCACCGACGGCGGCGACCCCCTCGACGCGGCCGGCGCGCACAGCAGCATGTACGCCTCCGTCCGGCTCATCAGCCCGAGGGAGCTCACGTGCTTTCCGACTTCCCCTTCTTCCCGACGGCACCGGCGACGCCCGGCGGTACCCGGGGCACGCGGCGTTCCTGAGGTACATCAGGGACTTCTGCGACGCGTTCGGGCTCATGGACGTCGTCAGGGTCAACACCAAGGTCCTGCATGTCGGCCTGGCGGCTCCGCGCGCCGCTGACGACGGCGGCGTGAAGCGGTAGACTGTGAGGTGGTCCTCGAGACATGGTGACCGTGAGGGCGAGGTGGTCACCACGGAGGAGGTGTTCGACGCCATCGTGGTCGCCGTCGGCCAATACACCCAGCCAAGGCTTCCAACCATCACCGGTAGGTACGTTCTGACCTCTCATCGATTGCCGTCGTGACTGATTGCAAAGGATGAATTTGTCATGTTGGTCAACGGATCGAGCTGCTAGGCATGGACAAGTGGAGCAGGAGGCAGCTGCACTCCCACTGGTACCGAGTCCCGGACTCCTTCCACGGCGAGGTGGTGGTGGTCGTGGGCTTCCATGAGAGCGGCAAGGACATCGCGCTGGAGCTCGCCAGGGTGGCGATGGAGGTGCACGTCAGCGTCAAGTCCATGGAGGGCGTCGCTCCCGGCGTGTCCAAGGCTGTGTCAAGGCACCACAACCTGCACCTGCACCTCCAGGTGGAGTGCTTGTGCGACGATGGGCAGGTAATGTTCGCCGACGGCTCGTGTGTCGTCGCCGACTCCATCATCTACTGCACTGGGTACGAATTGTCGTTCCCGTTCCTGGACACGGGCGGGCTGGTCACCGTCAACGACGACCGCGTCGGCCCGCTATTCGAGCACACCTTCCCGCCGGCGCTGGCGCCGTCGCTCTCCTTCGTGGGGTTGCCCAGGCTGGTGCTGGTGCCGCTGTTCTACGAGGTGCAGGCGAGGTGGGTGGCGCAGGTGCTGTCCGGCCGGAGGCAGCTGTCGTCGTCGGAGGAGATGATGCGCTCCGCCAAGGAGTACCACCACGCCAGGGAGAAGGCCGGCGTGCCCAGGCGCCTCTCGCATGCCATATTCTTCGACTTCGAGTACTGCGACGAGTTCGGGGAGAAGCACTGCGGCTTCCCGCGGATGCCGGAGTGGAAGAGGGACCTCCTGTGGTCGGCTGTCGCACGCATGAGGGACGACGACATGGAGACCTACCGTGACAGCTACCACGACGACAGCGACCTAGTCCTGGAGGGCCTGCGCTCGGAGGGCTGGCTGCCTTGGACACCACAAGAGGAGGTCGGCCAAGATGAAGACGACGGCGTACCAGAGCTAGCCACAACCACCGACACGGGCACACGGCGACACAGACTTGCTGCATGCACTATTCGATCTAGTCGTGACGTTTTGGGAAACAAGTACAGATCATAGTCATCGAATGATTGAAGTGGTGGCATAAAACCGCGAATTGATCAACCAAACTTATGGTTAGCGGAGTTATATGTGTTTTATCAACACCTTATTAAATATAAATGAGTGGTTTGCTTGTGAACTTTCTTAACCTATGGCCGATTTTTTTTTTTAAAAAAAAAACATCCTCAATCTCAAAATACAAAAGAACCTACCCCTTAACTTTCCTAATAAATTAGCGAACGAGCTGATGGCTCAGTGATAGGGCTTGCTCAGTGGAGCACCCACGGCCGGGGTTCGAGCTCCACACGACACAAGTTTCGCACCGGAAATTTATCAGTATTTTCTTTGTAGCCTCAAGCGCTAAAGTTCCACAATGGTCAATGTGTGCCCGTCATGTGTTTCTTTAGATATATATAGGTGGAATAGGCCCAACTTATGTACGGTGTATTGTGTGTGATATGAGTTTGTGCAAAGTTCATAACTTGTACTTGAAGTATTGAGGCATAAAAAACGAATAAATTACTCTCATAAAATAGTTCATAGTGGTTTTGATGGTGGGTTTAGTTAATGTCTTTAGTTTTTTTTGTCACACCATCTTTTATTGAATTTTAAGCTCCTATAATGACCTCAAATGAAGAAAATCAACAATAAAATTTTAATCTATTCAAGCACCACAAATTTGGTATAGAATGTGTCTTCATCCGAGATCGTTAAAAAAGAAATAACTAGAGAACTTCAAACAAATATTTTAACCTCTAAATGATTTCAAATAAAAGGATTTTCAACCATAAAGTTATAGACCATATTGAGATATGTAACTTTGGTATAGATCATGTCAATGCCGAAGTCATTGGAAAATTTAAACAAATTGAATTTTAAAATGCTAAAAACTAAAACAGATATTTGGGCCACCAAGGTCGTTTGATTTTTTTTTAGAAAAATGAATTTCAAAATTGAGAATTTTAAAAAATAATATTTGGGTCTCCAAATGATCTCAGATTGAAAAGTTATTAAGAACAAAGTTATATATCACATTTAGAACTACAATTCTGTTATATACCATATCAGCATCCTGTCATATGAAAAATTTAAGATTTTGAATTTAAAAATCTGATAAGCATCTACCGTGTTTTCGTAAGAAAAAAAATACATGATAGGAGTGAAGCGCAAACGTGCGCGTTAAATAAATGTGCATGTCATGCGTATGAGCATCTACCGTGTTTTTCATAAGAAACAAAAAAAAAACATGCTGAATCTAGTTATTTACCTTCAACAATCCGTTTACACTGAAAATTAGGCTCGATTTGTAGACGGGTAGAACAATAAGGTGAAAACGAGCCCAACTTAATAATACGTGCTCTCTCCGTTTTAGTCATTCTATGTTTGTCCTAAATAAAACTTCTCTAGTTTTAGTTTTAATTAAATTTATAAAAATCAATATCTATATCTATTTATATCTATACTGAATAATAAAGAGGCAAAATTTCCTTCTCTTTTTTATCCATTTATTGGCCCTGTTCGTTGGTCTGAATTTTGGCTGAAACTGGCTGAAAAACACTGTTTCGGCTGAATTGTTGTGAGAGAAAAACACTGTTCTGGCTAAAAAAATAAGCCGAACAAACCAAATTTAAAACAAGCGAACGAGGCCATTTTGGTCTTACCCTTCCTAGCCACTTCTACGCACCCTCCTATTTTATACATATGCTGGGCTAAGAATCCTAATCCTATTCAAATAGATTCCATAGACCCTAAGTTGAATAAGAATCCTAACACTAGTAGAGAAATGAGCTGTACTCCTGGTTCTCAAGCCCCTTCAGTCCCGGTTTTAAATCCGAGAGCACGAATCCAGAACTAAAGGGCCCCTCCTTTAGTCCCGGTTTCGCGCCCGAGACTAAAGAGGCCTCTCGGCCTGGCCACGTGGGCCAGCCCTTTAGTCTCCATTGATGATTCGTTTTGGTTTTCGAATAGGTTTTCGAATACGCATTCTACGTTGTTAATAATATATATATTCTACACGTTTATAATGTTTGAACATTTTGTACAAACTAAAGTACGAAACTAACGTATATATTACATGCATATACATATATTGTACGTTATTTTATGTACATATAATATATATATATATATATATATATTACAAATAAAGCTTGCATTGTATATTCTATCATATTCTTGGGATAACAAATTCACTTCATCTGGTTTGGCTTTCATGTTTCGTTCACGTCATTGTAGAACTCGTCGGCGGGGTTTAGGACCTGATCATTAAGAAATCCTGCTATGGTCTCTTGAATTGCTTTCAGTTGGTCATGTCGTATGACTTTTTCCTTCAACCATAGAGTCTTCAATAAAAGTTAAAGAAAAAGTATTAATATATATATATGTGTGTGTTGGTCACGTGATTACTTATATATATGAGCAATAAAAGAAATTGTAAATATATGAATATATTTATATAACGTACTTTGAGGTTCTCTTCAGGAGTTCTTTTTGAGTACGCCATGATGAACTCGCAAACATAGTATCCGCAGTAGTTGTTCCCCTGTTCTTGCCTCAGAACCCACTTTTACGAGAAAAAAGATCCGGTGAATTGAAAGCATGCATGGTGTTAATTGAATTATATATATATATATAAATGTAGCTAGTACTTTCTTTGTGTGCGATTACATTTAGTGGCGCTTTGCAAAGTTTCATGTGGTGTTCCTCAATGAAACTTTTCCAAACATTGCGCCCAATAAAATAAAAAATTAATTTGGCCTTTAATAAATATTGCAGTTAAGAGATCGGGGTATATATAGTTGTGTAACACCCCGGGTGTTTTAAATACTAAAACTTGCCATGACATCATATGCATTGCAAAGCATCTGGACATATTGAAAACTTAGATATGCATTTACTAAAACAAGTTTACTTTATGTTGTATGTGTGAGTTGTATTGTTTGAATCAAGTTTGAAATACTTATATTGTTTTGGAAATTCCGAAAACCCTAATTTCAATATTTAAATTCTACCCTGAAAATCTATTTCAAAATCGAAGCACATTTTGGGGTTGAGTCTTAAAGCAAAGTTGTAGAGCTTGTCGAGTTGTACAAAGTTTATTTTTGGAGTTTTTCAAGTTGTTTAGAAAAATTTGAAGTTATTTAAAAAGGCGAAATTCCTTAAATATCCCCGTTTTAAATTCAAAAGTTCATTTCAAAATGTAGGCCGAATTTGGGTATGGTTTCAAAAGCAAAGTGGTAGAACTTTTGATTTTGAACAACTTTTGTTTTTGGAGATTTTTGAGTTGTTATGAAAATTTGAGAGTAATTTGTGAATTTTGGGCGAATGGCATTTCTGTAAATTGAGTGAACAGTGTCCACCGCCGAAGCTACATTGCCGGCGTTTCCTTCTTCGGCGTTCCAGGCACGGTCGTGGCCGTTTTGGCGTCGCGCTGGCGCGGTGAAGGACACGGCGCAGCTTCCTTGAGCTTCCTAGCCATCCTTTATAGCATGAACCGTCGCCGTTTGACCCCATCCCTTTGCTCTGTTTTTCCGTCGCCACTGCTTCATCTCCAGTGAGCCCGTGCCATCGTTGTTGTGCTCCACCGTCGCTGATAAGCTAGTTCCAGCTCCGCCTACTCCTTGCGCGTCCGGCCGACCCACCAATTCCGTTTGTCTTCACCGGAAACTCGAGTTTCATTGCCTTCTTCCTCGCGGCCGGCGAACTCACCCGAGATTTCGTTTCTCCGTGGCCAGAGCCCGTCGGTGAGCCGTTGCCCTTGATTGGTGTACCTTTGGCTTTGTCTCGATGCTGTAGTGCTCATTTCATTGTTTCTTGGCCGTTTTGTCCACTGCAGTCACCGGTACACCATCACCGACGAACTTTGTTCCGCCGTGATCGCCGTGGACGCCGTCCCGCTTCACCGCTGTTTCTCCGGCCTTGTTATCTGCTTAGTTGTGTTCAGGGTAAGCTCTTGATGCTTCCTGTGTCCTTTGTTTAACTGCTACCGGTCTGTAGTCGCCGACGTAGTACCGCCGAGGCGCCGTGTCCGCCATGGTCGACGTTGAGCTTGAATTGAGTCGTAATCGGTGCAGCTAAGTAGGTCGGTAGGTGCGCCTAGTCGTGGGGAGCATGTTGGTACAATCGCCATCGCCGGTGAACTCGCCGTCGATGAGTTTATGCCGGTCAGAGCTGTCGCTGCCGTGGTCAACGTCGGAGGTTGAAGATGACAAGTGGGACCCGGTTGTCAGTGACTCAGCGTTCAAAATGAATTTTCTGTTTTTCAGATTTAAATGAATAGTGTCTGTTTTTGTTATTTTTGTGTAGATTTATTTAGAGATCCAAAAATTATAAAAATTTTTGTGTGACTTCTCTGTGATGTGTGTTATTTAGGAAAAATATGAAATGTTGATTTTTAGTACTTTTTGAATGTGATAAAAATTGCTCAATTAATTAATAAATAAGTTTCTAGGATTTTTCTAGACTTATTTATGTATCCAAAAATTATGAAAGTTGTTTTGTCACTTAGTTATCATGTGATGAACATATACAAAAATTTTGAGGTCAATTGGAACAAGTTGATTTATTTCATAATTATTAATTAATTAATTAATTCATAAAAGCAAATAGTAACCTTTAGTGATTTAGGTTTTGTTTGAGTTTTTGATTAAGTGATGTCCTTGGGTCATTAGTTGGTAATGATCCTTGGCAATTTTTGGGAGTGTTGCGAAAATGGTTTAGTTAGTTTGACTTGTAACTGTATCGCGAAGGAAAGTTGTATTCAAGTTGTTAAGTTTTGCATCCATCATCGAACATCATATTTTGTATCCGCATCATGTTAAGCATGGCATTGTTACTACGTGTAGTGAACGAAGGTGAGCACGTGGTAGTTAATCAAGTAGTTGAGGAGGTTGATCCGTCTGTGGAAGTTGGTGTTGATATCAGTGGAGCGACTCCGGACCCGGACTTTTCCGTCAACGAAGGCAAGCCCCGGATGCATACAACCCTACCTTGTATTTTACAAATTGATTTCGCTTTTG